CTGTGACTGTCAACTTCTCTGCCATTTCATTTACTGACCTCTAAGACAAGAATATATTTTTAAAGGCATGTATTTCTATAAATCTGTATATTTTGGAAATTCCCCTATGTGGTTTCCAAATTCTCATGTGTTAAAAAACTCTTTAGTAATAATTCTACGGGTGCCTGAGTGGCTCATTCGGTTGGGTATGTGACTCTGGATTTTGGCTCAGGTCATTTTCTCACAGTCATGAGACAGAGCCCTGCATGTGGTGTGGCATGATGTATACAGCCCCTCCCCCTCTCGTGAGCATGCTCTCACTCTCAAAATAAAAAATAATTCTAAATGTAATGCATACTCATTTAAGAGCATTTGTAAAGTGATACTGAAAGAAGAAAAAAGAAACTCCATTTCTTTCCTATTAGCCTTACTGTAAGGATTTTAAAGCAGATTAAATGACTGACAGATTTTGAAGAAAGTAACTCTTAGAAGGTCACTGTTCCGGACATCATTTTTATTTCCGAAAGTAGGGTCATTAATTCTTTTCCTCTCTCTTGCTTTATTTTTCTGTAGACTCTAAAGGAGTTGAGTGTCACTATTCTGAGTACTGCATTGGGTGCACATTTGTACTGTACATAACTTTTCCTCTATTTTTTTTTTTTTTTTTCTAAGAGAGAGAGAGAGAGACACCGTGAGCAAGGGAGGGTCAGAGAGAGAGGGAGTCACAGACTGAAACAGGCTCCAGGCTCTGAGCCAGCAGTCAGCACAGAGCCCGACGCGGGGCTCGAACCCACGAACCGCGAAATCATGACCTAAGCGAAAGTCGGACGCTTAACCGACTAAGCCACCCAGGCGCCCCTTCCTCTACATCTTATACATCTATACAGATGCACTGTATATTCTTTTTAAAAAATGTTAGCACAGAGCCCAAAGGCTTGAACCCATGAACCTTGAGATCACGACCTGAGCCAGTCACTTAACTGAGTGAGCAACCCAGATGCCCCAAAATGCAAACACTTTGATGTGGCATTGAAAAACACTTCAATTAACAAAATCTGGTCCCAGCCATCCTTTCTAGATTCACTATCTTCCATTCCAAATTATAGTTAAACAGCTTGTTTTTTACATTTATTTACTTGTTTTCAAAGAGAGACAGAGACAGAAAATCCCAAGCTGGCTTGGTGCTGTCAGTGGAGCCCAGTGCAGGATCCAAACCCATGAACTGTGAGATTATGACCTGTGCTGTGATCAAGAGTCAGACATTTAAAGATTGAGCCACCCAGTTACCCCAGACAGCTTGTTTTGAAGCTGCTTACACTGGTGTGAGACTCAGCTAGACGGCCACATCCCTGAGGCTGGGACTTTGACACTCGTAGTCCTGCATCACCTTGGCTTAGCCAAGCACCTCTCCCTCTGAGACAATCTAGTCAAGAGTGAAGATCCAAAATTCTAATGGGAGCAGTTCCAGTTTCAGGTAAGATGAATTGAGCACACTCCACCCTCTGTGTCCTACTGAATGCATCTAACAAGTATACATCAGCTATTTGAGGACTTAAAATAAATACTAGCAGGCAAATTATGAAAGAAGACCAGAATTCAAAGTATCACTGAACCAACGCCAAGTTTACATTCAGGATTTTTATCCTGGACATTGTGGATGTTATTTTGTATACACTATGAATTATTCTTCCTCATGGGGAAAAAAAAAACTTTAACAATTAACTTGTTTGGACTGGCATTATAGGCTTTGTCTCATTTTTTGTGGGTGGCCAATAAAATCTCAGTTCATTTCTTTAAGCCTCCGAGTTGGTCTTGTATATGTGGGGTCAGAGCCTAGCTCAAGACTTCACATTACAGAAGTAGAAACATCCTTTTCTCTCCCCTTCACTATCCAGGTATGGTTGTTACATGCTTTTTTTCCCCTGGTTTCTGCAACCAGAAAAATGATGGCAGACTTTCTTAAAAGTTTTTATAATTTTTTAACGTTTATTCATTTTTGAGAGAGAGAGACAGAGAGAGACAGAGAGAGAGACAGAGCACAAGCAGGGGAGGGGCAGAAAGAGGGGACACAGAATCTGAAGTAGGCACCAGGTTCTGAGCTGTCTGCACAGAAACCAATGTGGGGATTGAACTCACAAGCCAGGAGATCACGACCTGAGCCAAAGTCGGAGCTTAACTGGCTGAGCCACCTAGGTGTTCCGCAGGCTTTCTGTTACAGTTTTAACTGCTCATGCACTTTGAGACTGTGGCCCACTTTCAATGCAAAGACACACACACACACACACACACACACACTAACCCATGTGACAGTAGCTTCTTCAGATTTTGACTGCCCTCCACAAGGGTCTGCTTTTATTTACTCTTCAGAATCCTCACACAGTTGTGTTTTCTATTTTGCCCACAACTTCTAGTTATCAGTATGAGATATGGTTTGTAGAAATCGTCTATCATTGTAACTTGTTTGTATGAAACATAAAAGTGTATTGCCCATGTAAAAAATTACATTAATATAAATCAGTATCTGGCAATGGTCAGCTTCCTAAGCTGGGTAGTGTTTACATGACCTTGTTTTTTATAATTAGTTCGGATGTTTTATATCCCATTCAGTATGCATAATACACTTCAGTTTTCTAAAAATGAGGTACTTCAGCACTTCATAACCCAAACTTTAGCTCCTCACTTAACATTTACCCTGTGGATAATAATGTTATGAAAATAGCACATTTGTAGTAGTTCAATAATATCTGAATAGGTAAGGCTTAAGAAAAAGATAATCCCTTCAGTTGTACAAGTGAATACACCCTAAGAAAATAAAGTCCCCTATGGGCAAGGATAACTTAAGTCTGTTGTAAAGTGGGTTAAGCAGGCAGGCAGGCAAGCAATCCCCTGCAGCTTCAAGGTAGTGAAGCTCACATTGTTGACCTGGGATCTTGGTTCAAGTCCTGACTCTACCTCTTACTAGATGTGTGACACTGGGTGAGTCACTTCACCTTTCTGAGCTGGTTTCTTCATTGTAAAGTGGAGAAAATAATAGTACCTACCTCTCAGGATACTGGGTGATGTAGGCCATGAATATAAAGCATTTAGCACCCAGTACTAGGTATCTATAAAATCTTCAATGAAAGTTAGCTGTTATTAATATTTATAGGAATATTTTATTCTGAATCTCACAGGATTTATTTAATTTATTTAAAATTGACTTATTTACTCAATTACTAATCTACACCTGATGTACTTCCACAAAAACAATTTGAGTTCATGTTCCTTCATGGCCAGGAAAGGAGTCATTTTCTAATTTAAAATTCAACCTAATACTAAAAAGACAAGTTTTAGATGAATGCACCCTCTAGTGGTGTGCATCAAGTCCAAGTACCCGGCTTCTACAAAAGAAAATCTCTTTATGAAATGTCGCTAGGTTGGCGCTTAGAACCTGAAGTCAGCTGGGTAAGAACACGGTATGAGGATGATCATATAACTTTTAGGAAGCTTCCTCTCTTCAAGAGCTGGAGGAAATTTTTATTTTTCAAAACTCCCCCCACCACAAGACCTAGGATATTTCTGATATTCACCATACCCTCCCTAGTATTCCTACAGCATTGACTTTAATCTTTTCTCCTAAAGAAAATCAGGTCACTTTCTACTTTTCTGTAACTAGCATTGCAATGTACTTACTCTTCACTTAGTTAACAAAAACACACTGAGCACCAACTATATATACCGGGCAGTGGGAATACAAAAACAACTTACATAGAATTCACTATGCAATTACGAATCTGAAGTGTGTAAACAAAGACTGCCGTGAGTTTAGGACAAGGGATTGATCTATTGGGGGTGGGGGAGGCAGGAAGGGGTACAGGAAAGGTTACTTAAGAATAAAATGTGTAATGCCTTGAAGGTGAATTACCTAATTAGAAGAAAAGGAGTACCGTAGGAAGAGAGCAGCATAAGTAAAGGCCTCGAATAACAAGGTACATGCAGCCTATGAGAAACTGAGGAAAGACTCCTGGTCAAAGAAGGGGAAATTGTGCAGGGTGAGGATAGAGAAATAGGCAAGGATTTAATACCAAGTTAAGGTTGGAGCTCATCTTAAGAACAGAAAAGTATGAAAGGGATTAAAGCTGAACAATCTGATTTACATTTTCAAAAGTTCCCTCGGCTCAGGCATGGAAAAGGATTCCAAGAACTGGTGAAAATTGGATGCCCAGACCTGCTGTCAGTAACCCAGTTCAGATGGGATGAAGCCTGGCACAAGGGACGTAGCAGTGGAGATAAAGTGGACAGATACTTAAGGGGTAAAAGAGATTGACCACGATGCTGGGCATGAGAGTAGCAGACCTGGTGAACTGAGTGATGTGATCATGCCATTTTCCCCGACTAAGTACAACTGGTGGTGGTAGCTGTTTGGGAGAGGTTGTTGAGATACTGAATTAAGAGGCAAGGATTTTCCTCTTAAAAAGAACTTCTCTGACTACAAAGTAGAATTATTTCAATTTTAGTCTTAACTAAATTAATCACCGACTTCCACCAACTAGGGCCCTAAACGTTTTTTATATTTCTATCACAGTGACCCACTTCCACTGCGATAAGACTTTTACGTCTGCCTGGAAAGACCTTAACTCACTCCCGCCCCAAACTTCACCATATTTTTGCTTTTCAAAGTACAGTTCCAAGGTCACCTTCTCAAGTCTTGCCAGTGTTTCACACCGCCTCCCCCCAATCGTGCCGTGCATTTCTTCCAAATTGTGGGCTCCAGACACCACGGATTAAGCACTCTTCATCTGTGTCCTCGCTGTGCAGCGCGGCACCTTAAAACGCTAGACGTTCCATCAACAGTTACTCATACTCACCTACCCGCCCACGGAGAGACCCTAGCACAAGCCAGTACCTCCAGCTTGTCCCGCCGGAAGTGACGCGCTCTCAACAACAACGTACTTCCGGTCCTCACTTCCGACTCGGCTGCAGGGGACGGGCTTCTCTGGTTGGCTAACTCGGCTGCCCTGGAGGATTCATGCGCGGTAAGAATTTGCGCACGTTAGGACCCCGGGGGCGCCAGGTGCTGTGGGATCCTCCCGTTCGTTCCCAGGGACGTGATGGGAAGGCGCAGACTGACTGCTAGGCCCCCAACAGCCGTCAGCGCCAGATGGGGCTGGAATGCCTGGCTGGGCCGCCGGCTGAGCGCGCCGGCCTCAGCTGTGGGGTGCTCGCCTCTTGGGCTGGCGCGTACAGCCCTGCTGGGGCCCCCGCCGTGGGAGTGTGTTCAGCCGACTCGGCCTTCATACCCAAAGCTTCCCCCTTCCCGGGTCCTCTGGGTAAGGCTCCCCACATCCTCAACAGCTCCAGCCCTACTGTGCTAGTCGCAGGCTCTGCAGTGATGAGCGTGCGCGCGTGGTTTATACAGTAGTATGCAGCGTCTCACCTTTTTTTACCGGCTCCGCCTTTCGGCTTGAGTTGCGGGATGTTACGGAAGACGATAGCTGAGGTTTTAACCGCGGATGGTACACGGGATGCCGCCCTAAAAAGGGCGAGGCTTAATTGAAAATGATTTGAAACCACTGCGCTGGAGGTAGTTTATTCTCTGATTAGAAGGCCCGCATTATCACTTGGCCGCAAACACGTGTTTATTTTACTTGTCATTCTGTTGGGAAGACTTGTAATGACAAACTTTGCGTTAAGGACAGGGTTTCTGTATACTTAATTTGCTATGCAAATAGTTTACTTTGAACTGACAGACTACGCAAGAAGATGGGGAGAATGTAGACCTTGGACTTAAAGATACAACCAGCCGGGAAAACTGCAGAATTGGGAAAAGTAATTTCATTCACTGTATTACTATGTAATACATAGTATTTTACAAAGTAATTTTTTTCTTGAATTGTTTTACAGTTTTAAGCATTTATATACGTGTTTCTTTTGCTTTTGTGATAGCTTCTCTGGTAAGAGCTATATTTACTTTATATGCATATCTGTGCATATTATAGAACTAAATATCCAAATATCTACCTTAAGTAAAAAAATGTTTATAATAATTAAAGCATCAACATATGGGCATAATGTGATACACTCCGTATCTTTTGTTTTTTGGTTTTTTTTTTTAATGGTTACTAACTAGCCATGCTTGTCTTAAAGTTTGATAAGGTAACTTTGATGAAATCATGACCAGGTGGGCACGAGTTACTACCACACATAAAAAGAGACCTTTGGCTGCAACATCATGGGAGAATATGAAGAAGGGGTCCCTTGAGGGAGAAGGCCAAAACCTACCAAAGAGTAAACAACTTGAAGCCAATAGGCTCTCTGTTAAAAATGATACGCCTCACACAAAGCACAAAAAGAACAAAAAGAAAAAGGAGTACCTAAATGAAGATGTAAATGGATTCCTGGAATACCTAAGGCAAAACCCACAGATGGTTCGTAATGGGGAGAGGATAGCAACAGACAATCAGGAGGTAAGGGAAGAAATTGCCGTTGCTTTAAAGAAAGATAGTCGCCGGGAAGGAAGAAGACTAAAAAGACAAGCAGCAAAGAAAAATGCAATGGTAAGAACATCGCTTCTACTGAAATGTTACTTTGTATAAGCCAGAATTATTACTCATTCACACGTGTATATTTTAGCAGAGTATGGTTACAAGCATCTTTTTTATTTTTAAGTTTATTTTGAGAGAAAGCCTGTCCGCACATGGGTGTCCTCAAGGGGACTGGGACAGAGAGAGGAGAGAGAGGAGAGAGAATCCTAAGTAGGTTTTGCACTGTCTGCACAGAGCCTGACCAGGGTTTATCCCATGAATCATAAGATGATGACCTGAGCGAAAATCAAGACTCAGATGCTTAACTGAGTGAGCCACCCAGGTGCCCCTTTGCTTTTTTTTCTTCATTTTTATTTACTTCGAGAGAGAGAGTATGTGAGGCAGGAGATGAGCAGAAAGAGGAGAGAGAATCCCAGGCAGGCTCCTGCTATTATAGTGGAGTCCTACACAGGGATCAATCTCACAAACTGGGAGATCATGTCCTGAGCCAAAATAAAGAGTCAGACACTCAATCTACTGAGCCACCCAGATGCCCTACAAATAAGAAATGTTTTAAAGGTATTTTTTATAACAAGAATTGATAAAGCCAATACCGTTTTGTAACGTGGAAACTCATATTTTGTTTTCCTAGGTGTGTTTCCATTGTAGAAAACCTGGCCATGGGATTGCAGATTGCCCAGCTGCCCTTGAGAATCAAGATATGGGCACTGGAATATGTTACCGGTGTGGGTCCACAGAGCATGAAATTACCAAGTGCAAAGCCAAAGTAGACCCAGCTCTTGGTATGTTTTCTATCGGTTTTTGATTTGGTTAATGTCAGAAGTGGCCAGTAAGTAACCAACTGGTTTTTTTCTGGACGGAAATTGTCATGAGTATACCACTTGATATTTTGAAATCAAGATTGAACTGCAAGTTGTATTAAAAATAGGGGTTTTCAGAGTACTTATAATATGAATTACATGACTTGTTCTATACTGAGCCAACTTAACAGGAACTGTTGATCCTTACAGGTGAATTTCCTTTCGCAAAATGTTTTGTTTGTGGGGAAATGGGACATCTGTCCAGATCTTGTCCTGATAATCCCAAAGGACTTTATGCTGATGGTGAGTACTGTTAACTTTTTATGTCAGAAAAGGTCAATTATCATGCAGAGTTGTGATTTAATTTATACTCAAACAGTTTTTGAATTAATTGTTGAACAAATAACAACCTTGAGAATTTGAGTTATCAAACTATTCTTTATACTGGCCTTTATGTGTAATGTGAGGATGTATCAATCAAGTCAGGAATAACTAAAGTGTATGTTTCAAACTTTGTGCTTTCAGCATCCTTTGTGAGAGCAGGTTATAAATATCTACTTTTAAAGATAACATAAGTAAAGGGATTATATCTCAAGCTAATATAATATTTAAAAAATAGTGCTGCGAATTTAATCACAGGCTAGCATACAACTTTGGATAGATGGGCTGGTACACACTCTTCAACATTTGTAGTAATTTTTGTTTCTGAATGTTTTCCTTTGTCAATTGTCTAGCATGGAATCCTGTAACTTTCTTATCTTTAGCTCAGCTAACATTAAAGTCCCTAAAGTCTGTGATGTTTAAAGCTTTAAGGAGGAAAATTTCTGGTAATGTGAGTAGTGTGCTCATGTGATAGCTGGTACCATCAGATTCTAAACATCTCTTGTGTGTCATGTCCCGGGTTCCATGGGAGAGGCTGAATGAAAAGGCACAGCATTTGGAATCAAGGTGACCAGTTACAGCTCCAGTACCACCACTCACTAGCTGTGGGACTCTGGCAGAGTAATTTCTCTCATCTCAATTTTGTCACCTATAAAATGGAGATGAAGAACTGTATTTCATTGACTCTAAGATGAACATTATTTCATATTTTCATGTCCCTGTACTCAGAATGTATCATGCCATTGGTGAGTGCCATGTACAATAGTATAGTACAGTAAAGAACAGTACAGTAAAGAAGCCTAACCCTGGAAAATATACAGGTCAGACAACATGAGTAATGGGCAAAATGGCTTTGGATGGTTATGCACACTAACTAGATATTTTTAAAAAGTGCAGCAAAGAAAATAGATCACATAGAAGTGAGAATTCAGCCAGGTTTACATCCTATAAGGTCATTTTTCTGGATAAGTCACTTAACATTTTAAGCATGTCATGCTTAATGCTGACCATTAAGTAATAGTGTTTGACCATTAAGCTAATTTTAGAAACCACATGTGTTGTAATTCACAGTCCTGGAATGTTGCTTGGAGTAGGCAGAGAGGCAGTTTCATTAGGGTAAAATGCCTGGCAGATAGAAGGACTAAAACAAAAGTTAATTTCATTCCTTTTGTAACTGCTCACCCTTGTCTGACCTGTACAGATGAGCAGTGAAGCAGTGGGTCTTAACCTTTTTTGAGGTCATTGATCATTTGATAAGAACTATGGACATCTTGCTCACAAAACACATCTGGACACAACTTTTGCTTACAGGTTCAACAGTTCACAAATCTTTGCCTATCTAATCATGGTTAAGGTCTGGTCTTCTGTGCAGTGGCTCTTCGTCACTCCAGAGGACATGTACCTTCTTCCATTATATCTCTCTTCTTTTTCCCCCTTCTCCCCTGAAGGCAGGTACAAGAAATGGTAGGATAGGTACAGTTTAGTGCTCTGTGAGATCAAAAGGAATGGACAGTGGACTTATTAACTGGAATGGTGGCACCTGCCTATGTGCCTATTTCCAACTACCTATGTAACTGATGAAGTTGTGAGGACCAAGTAAGATAAGACAAGTGTTTTGAGACATTATAATCCCTTCAAGTTTGAGAGGTTTTCATTGGCTTTGTTCTTTCACTAGGTGGTTGCTGCAGACTCTGTGGCTCTGTGGAACATTTTAAGAAAGATTGCCCTGAGAGTCGGAATTCAGGTGAGATCTCTGGGCCTCCATTAGAAGGGGTTAGATTAGTACTCTATGTTTTTCTTGAATGTTGTTATGAAGAATTCACTGAGGTACCACGGTTTTAAGGCAACCTGGTTTTCTACTACAGTGATGACTTAATCATTTCTCTGTCAGGAGTAGACACAGTAGTAACTGAGCATTAGCTGGTATTATTAGGTGGAAAAAAAGTGACTATTAAGTCCTGGAGCACCTTGATTTTATAAAACATCTTATTCATTAACATTCATATTTGCCAACTAATGAATTTAATAATAAAGCCAATTCTGTTACTAAAAGAAAAATACTGATTCACTAAGAGAAAATCAGAAATATGAAAATAACTCCATATTTTTATGATTGCCATCCTCACATGTTTTGCTTTGTGTATACCTGAAGGATTCAGAGTTGGTTGTAAAAACTGCCAAAAATACTAAAATTGGGTAAGGTACAATATCTGACCAGATAAATTTTCTTCCTAATGAAATATCCTTGGTCACCAAAAACTTCATAAATGTTTGCTCTACCTATGGCAGATTTGGGGGGAAGTGGAGACCATTATTTTATTAGTTTACCTGGATTAGAATGATAATAATCTTGACCAAAAGAATGCAAGATAGGAGGATAGCGGTAGTGCTTCTTAGGGAAAAACACATTTCTTTTTATTTCAGATAGTCACAGTACTACCCAAGAAGTCTGCCCATTCTTACTTCCTACCCGAACATTTAAGTTTGAAAACCAAGAGTTCTTGTTTATGATTTTGCCTAGAAGAAGACCAACTTTGCTACATTAGAGGCAGGGAGACTGAAATGATGGAAGTGGAATTTGAATTCTCCCTCCTGGGAGGATTGCCACTTCCCAAATGACAAGACTGACAAGCAGATGTTGTATAATTTCACAGGTGGAATCTCGTGCATTTAAAACTGATGCTTCATAAGTCTTACTGTTTACAGATTCTTGGAATTCATTGACTCTGTAATGATGAACTCTGGGAAAGAATGAAAGAGTTTCTCATCAATTTCTGCATTGCAAAGCAGTTGCTGCATTTCCCTAATTGGGATGAGAAATTGCTTGTAGTACTCCGAAATCAAGGGTTATAATCAATTACAGAATTGCTCACTCTCCTTTAGTGATGGAGTCTTCCCTCCTTGTGATTATTCATGTAAAAACTAATTCCTTTGCTCAGCTCGCACCAATCTGGGTGGATGTATTTGATTACCATTTTTTTTTACATTCTAACTTTGATTCCTTGACAGATCGAGTGGTCACAGTTGGTCGCTGGGCAAAGGGAATGAGTGCGGACTATGAAGAAATTTTGGATGTGCCTGAACCACAGAAACCCAAAACAAAGATACCTAAAGTTGTTAATTTTTGATAATGATTAGTACTATCATTAGTTACCACCTCATTGTTAACCATTCTGAACTGGGCCTACCTCACAAATTGGAGGTGGGCACCCTTGGGAGACCTGTGTTATAGATACTAGAATGATGTGCCTATGGTCAGATAGTTTCCTGAGTGCTGTCAATTAGAGAGTGCCTCGATCACTGGAGAAAATCACTGAAGAAAAGTGTAAGATTTTTAAATTGGATTCTCTAAAAGAATATTTTTATCAGATAGAACTTAGGTATAAATAAGTGGTTATATACTTGATTGTAACAATTGTCTTTTTCTTAAAAATTATGCATTAATGTGAACCACCCTTAAACAAGGTATAACTGCTTTGCATTTAGAAATGAAGTTTGGTTATATTGTTTTCTTGGTTCAAAAGATCAATTTATTATTAGGAATTTATAAGTTGCCACAAAATCTGTATTTTTAAGATATTTAATAAAAAATTTATTTGCTCTTTACTTATTTTTCTGAATACCTCATTCTGGATTGAACTAGCCATTGTCTGTCTATGTCCATGTAATTCCTTTGGGAACACAATCTTTTGTTAATTCTAGATGAGATTTATTTTGGTTAACTTATTACTTTTGACATGAAGTACAAGTTTTTGAGGTAAAATAGAAGAATACCTTAACAACAGCTCTTTCTTTGTCCTTGATTTTCAAGAGAGAAATTCTAGCCAAAATTATTTTGGAGTATTTAACCCAAATGATGTCACTTAACAATTGTGTATCACACTCAATAGCATTTTGTTCACGTGTTTTAGATGAGTCCGGGTGAGACGGAAGTATCGCCATAATAGAGTTAGAACGCTAATCAGAGACCCATTAGCTTCTTTGTTGGATTTGATGAATACATGCATACTTAATACATGTATTTCACAAGGCTTAGGACTCCCATTGTACTGTTAATGGAATGACTCTAGTGGATTGTGTGTTTCATTTGGAATTTTACCTGATTGGATACATTTGTAACTAAAGGAAACAGCTGCGATTAGTTACTGAAGCTTCAAAAGCAAAATATTTACCAAATAAGAAAAGAAACACTTTTCTCTCTTTTAATGTCTGCACAGCTCAACAGTTCTAGTCTTAATAGGAGCTGTTGTACTTTTGGTATGAGAGGAAAACATGACAGAATACAGCTCAGCATCCCAGAATGTAAGGAAAGGAGTGTCATTTAAAAGAAACACACAAGTCATGCAGCTGGAGAAGGAAAGCAATGCTGCCTTAGTCATTTAGTCCAAACACAGCCAGATTTATTTCAACTGTTCTATCAGGTGTGAAGGACTCTGGCCAGTTGAAACCTGTCTCAAATGAGGAAAGCAAACTATTTCCCAAGTTCCTGATACATTCCTGATACTCTCTTAGGCACTTGGGATTGTGGCAGTGATGAAGAAAAGGCCATATGCTTTCTAATGCGGCTTTAGAATGGAGAGAAAACTTAGGGGGAGATGTATATCAGAAATACCAGTATATCAGAAAAATAAGATTAGATATAAAAACATTTTAAAAGTGTTTTGCTGAATCCCCTCAGACTTGGACATTAAGCACTCTTCCTTCAGTCCTTTGGAAAGGTCACCTCTTACAAGCTTATTCACTTGTCTATGGCTGACTCCTAAATCCATCTGGCCCCAATATCCTTGAATACACTTCCTACTTGGATGTTCCTCCAGTACCTCAAGTCATCACTGCAGTAATTTTCAAAAAATATGAATTCAAAGACCTACAACAGAAGTTGGAAGTGACTCAATTGTAGGAGAGGTCTGAAATTTTACCATACAGAATTTTAGTGTAAGGTAACTCCTTTATAGCTAATTTTTTCACTTTTTTAAAATCTAAAAATATTCTAAAAAAATCTTTCTGCTTCTGAAATGTATAGGTATTTAAATCTACATGTTCACTCTTACCGTATGTAAGTGTTAATACATATAATTGGAGCCTGGTCCAAAGTTCATGTAAATGAAAACCTGCTGTCACAGAATAAAAGTAATTAACAAACAGACCTAGGCTAGGTGAGTGGATGGTTTGGAGAAGGGGGTAGGCTGGGGAAGCAGAGGTAGAGATCTGATATACTGACAGCAGGATGTTCCTAACCTCTTTAGTGCTCTAAACTCTAATGGAGAAGTCCTTCAACTTTTAAATGCTGTCTTGTAGAGGAGGCTAACTTGACATATGCTGGTTTGTCTTACGAGTTAAGACAAATCACAGAGTAGAATAATGAATGCTGAAGTCTAGGGAATAAAGTGCTAATGTAATGGTTATGAAAGAAGAGCTCAGTTAATATTCTCTTTCTCTGCAATATCACATTGTGCAGGTACTTTTCTATGTGTATATATAGCAATAGATACTAAATTGGCCAGCCACCTTGAATATATGTTAAATGACACTAGTAAAGTAGTTCCTATTACTAAAATTGATTGAATTCCATTATGTTTTAATGTCTTCCTAATTTAAAGCTCTAAAATATGTAATACATCTTGTCAGATGCTCCTGACATACAGATATCTGCCATATATGGAACAATCCCACACTATTCATCAACTAGCCAACTTATCATCTTTGATCAGAACACATGTTTCATCTCTGTAGCCTAAACATGCTTATGATCATTTTAAACCATATTTGTACCATATTACAGAACACACAAAAATGCATATGGGCAGTTTCCACTGCCTGTGCCCCTGGGAAGGAGCAGAGCCACAGATGATATAAAACAGTTTTAAAGCTCTTTAAAGAAGACTAAATATCCAAATCACTGGTGTTTGATCTGAGGTGAATTTTATTTTTTAAGCCCTTCCTAACTGCATTTTGCTTAGGCCAATATTAAATTACTTTGTGGCCCGAAAGCTTGCCAAAGTGTCAGGGCTAAGGGCACTTGGAATTGAAAGTGGGAAATAAATTACAAGTAAGTGACAGTTTACCATTTAAAATCTGTTTGTCAGTCCATCATCAGTAGCATTCTCTATGAACTGTATACAAGACGCTGCTGTCTCTTCTATGGATTTTGACCAGCCACCAAGATTTCCAGCAAAGTAAGGAGAGATACTAGCAGAAATCTGGTTGAAGTATGATACCTGTTTCAAAAAGAAAATACATTATTTTAATTGTTTACTGACTTGGAGCTTTTTTGAGGAGCGGTCTGAATCTTGTTGGTATAGGGAAGGCTATGACCCTAATCTTCTGGGGACTTTCTGGAATGATCTACAAGCATGACCTCAGGATTCCCCTGATGTGGACACACATGACAGAATTACAATTAATCAGGAAATGTGGGTAAAATCTTTCTCTATATCGGCAGTAGCAAATTCATGTGCAGATGTTTCATCAAACTTACGGTACAGGAACTGCTGTCAATAGCACGGATGAGAAATCCAGCACATATGATTTCACTTCTGATGTAGTGTGGACGAGGGGGAACTGATGGCAGAAGAACCGACTTCACTGCCACCGTGTAAGTGCTTCTGAAAAATGAAAGGACACTTTCTAAGTTATTGTTGAGAAATGAAAACCGGTTGTTAGAAAATAAATTCCTAGAGTTAATTCAACTTATTTACATAGGTAAAAGTGAAAGTATGGAGACCCAGATCTTTGAGATGAGATGAGGGGTTTTCTCTGCATGAGAAAACATTCTCTATGGCTACATTCAAGGGCAGGGAAGGTAATAAGGGCTACAGGTGTTTTCTGCCTAAGAATTGCTTATACTTTGCATAACTCCACAAAGTGGAATCAACTTCCAAGCATACTTTATTATGCCTAATGGGTTATAATTTCAGGCTCTTATCCTTCTTTAATTAAAAATAAAATAAAACAAAATCCACTGATTTAAAGAAACTTCACACAACAGAGAACCCTATGAACTAGAAAACAGTCTTTCTCAGTCCACTCTAGCCACAGTCTGTTCTCATCCTGAAGATGACCACTGTTATTATTTTGCTCTGTAGTCTTCCAGACCTTTTTATAAATTATAACATTGATATAAGCAAATGCATACATAGATTTTTGTGTAAATATAATCATTTAATAAATATTGGTGTATAGTTTGATTTTTCGCCTAACTAAATCTTTGGAGGTATTTCTGTATCAGCGCCTTTATAGCTACTTCATCTTTTTTAATGATGGCAGGATGCCTGGGGGCTCAGTCGGTTCAACTTGTGACTTTGGCTCAGGTCATGAACTTGCCCTTCCAGACTTCAAGCCCTGCATTGTGCTCTGTGCTGACAGCTCAGAGCCTGCAGCCTGTTTTGGATACTCTGTCTCTTTCTACCCCTCAGATTATCTGTCTCCCTCTCTGACCCTCCCCCCATCTCATGCTCTGTCTCTCTCAAAAATAAACATTAAAAAAAAGTGATGGCATAGTACTCTGCAATATGGCTCTACCATAATTTATAAGATGGACCCTCAATTTCTATTTCTTTTCCATAATAAATGATACTATAATGAACATCCATGTGCATTAGTAATATTCACACATGTTCGATTATTCTTATAGGCCAGCACTGACGTTGGAAATTATGCTGGCCAGTTCCAGGTGTAGACTTAAGCCATCCTGAAAGCTTCTACTTCTTATTTCTTTGAACACTTAATCTTAGGACCCTTCCCTTTAGAACACAGACACTGTGCCCTGAGAAGTCCAATGCCCACAGAGATATCATGGACACACAGTCTGATTAACAGCCCTATGTGGCAGCCAGACATTGTAGATGTCTAGCACAATTGAGCCTTTATAAATTCTAAACCTATTCCCAACGTTTCCTTTGGTAGTCACATTGGATTTTTACTAATACTGGAAGGTTCCAAAGGTTTGCTAACTGTCCGTTTGATATGTGCATAAAGCATAAGGAAAGGAACTGCTTTAGGAATCTTGCATGGTGCTTTGCAAACAAGTAGCATTTAATAGATGATATTTTTAAATTATTTTTTTAAATGTTTTTTATTTATTTCTAGGAGAGAGAGAGAGAGACAGCGTGAGCAGGGGAGGGTCAGAGAGAGAGGGAGTCACAGAATGAAACAGGCTCCAGGCTATGAGCTGGCAGTCAGCACAGAGCCCGACGCGGGGCTCGAACCCACGAACCGCGAGATCATGACCTAAGCGAAAGTCGGACGCTTAACCGACTAAGCCACCCAGGCGCCCCTATTTTTAAATTATTAAAGGTCCATCTAGAAAAAATTCAGATGCATATCATTCAAGATCAAAAATGCCTATATTGCCTTATTTTCATATCAACTTTTTCATTTTACCCTCTTCTATAAAACATTAATATGGCACTTGAATTGCATATACTCACCCATTTTTGAGAGGTCTTCTTCGTGATACAAGTACTACCAGGTCTTTGGGTTTGTCACCATTCACTATAGGACAAGTGATATAATATATCTGATCACCTTCACTCACCCAGTTTATGACTTCACAGGACCTATGTAAATACAACAGCGAAAGAAAGGCCACGCCTTTTTCTACATGCTTGAATAAGGCATTCACTTCTTTTATTTCCAAAACTTCATTACTGAGGTCCACATTCAGTCTTCTATTCACATAACCATCCTGCCAAAGCCAGCATTATTTCTCAAAGTCTGTCTTTAGAAAGCTGTTTGGTCAGCAGGAATAATTATGTGTGTGATGGAGAAAATGGTGGCCATGTGATTCTGAAGTCACTGCCCTCAGCACTTCAGAGAATCGCAAAAATAGCATTTATAGCTGTTTGGCACAAAATTATTTTTCTCTAGAATCAGGTAATAATACTTGAAGACTAGTCAATTGTTTAGACATCAAGGAAGGACTCAGGTAAAGGAATATGGTACACTGGAAAGAGTACTAAGTTCAGAGCCAGACAACTTTATTTTTGAATCCCATGTGTATACTTCATATCAGTGTTATGTTAGACAAGTCACTTTATTTTTGCATTTGTAAAATGAAAACCCCATACCTATGCAGTTATTGTGAGGATTAAGTGAAAACACCTGGCCTGAATCACAATAGGTACACAAGACAAGTAAGAATTCATTCATTCCTTCATTCATTCAAGTTCAGTTTGGCTGGGATGTAAGGAGACATAGGTAACAGTAACACCAAAACTTAGGCATTGTTCTTGATAAAAGCTTTGTACCTACAGAGTATCTGCAAATATTGATGGAAGAAAATCATGAAATATTTCCTCTTCTCTCAGAATTTATCATGGTAGCATTAACCATCATGTATTATTCTGGCATCAATGCAAATGTAACACATGACCCCAAAGGTGTTTTACTTTAGTGGTATTACATTGTCTCTTACATGGTATTAATCATAATTAGGTTTAGGCATTTTATTTATTTTATTTTAAGTTTAATTTATTTTTGAGAGAGAGAGAGAGGGAGGGAGGGAGAGAGAGAGAGAGAGAGGGAGGGAGAGAGAGAATCCCAAGCAGGTTCCATGATGTCAGTCCAGAGCCCAATGACGGGCTTGAACCCAAGAACCATGAGATCATGACCTGAGCCAAGATCAAGAGTGAGATGTTTAACTGAATCAGCCATCCAGGCATTCCCGGTTTAGCCATTTTTTAAAAATCTTTTATTTATTTCTGAGAGAGAGAGAGAGAGAGAGAGAGTGAGAGAGACAGAGAGAGACAGAGACAGAGAGTGAGCAGGGGAAGGTTAGAGAGAGAGAGAGACACAGAATCCAAAGCAGACTCCAGGCTCTGAGCTGTCAGCACAGAGCGTGATGCGGGGCTCAAAACCACGAACCGTGAGATCATGACCTAAGCCGAAGTCGGATGCTTAAATGACTGAGCCACCCACGTGCCCCTAGCCATTTTATTTTATTTTTCAATGTTTTGGTTTTAAGAGAGAAGAGAAAGAGAGAAAGAGAGAGAGAATAAGTGGGGGGGGGGGGGGGCAGAAAGAGAAGGGGACAGAGGATCCAAAGCAGGCTCTGTGCTGAGAGCAGAGAGCTTGATGTGAGGCTCGAACTCATGAACCCTGAAATCATGACCTGAGCCAAAGTCATATATTTAACTGACTGAGCCACCCAGGTGCTCCCAAGACTTATTAGTCATTTTAAAAATGAGGGGCACCTGGGTGGCTCAGTAGGTTATGCATCTGACTTTGGCTCAGGTCATGATTTCACGATTCATAAGTTCAAGCCCTGAGCTGGGCTCTGTGCTGACACCTCAGAGCCTGGAGCCTGCTTTGGATTCTGTGTCTCCCTCTCTCTCTGCCCCTTGCTCGATCACACTCTATCTCTCTCTCAAAAAGAAATACTAAAATTTAAAAAGAAAAATGAGCTTCTACCTCATTAAGATTAGGAAGTAAATGGTAACATTTGATATAATAGGAAGCCCATCTCACCAATCCTTCCCTTTTAGCAAGATGCCCAGTGAGGCCTGGAGTGCTGTATGCAGCCCCAGGAGCTGGAACTTCTTGGAGGGGGCGTGATCTGAGTGTAATCAGACCCAGTGAGTGCAGGTGCCTTGCATTCCAGGAAAGGAGCGAGAATGGAGGAGGCTGGATTGGGGTGCAGAGGACAGGGAGTAACAGAAGGGAGAGACTGCAGCTGACAGTCGGCCCTGATCAGACAGGAAAAGCTGGCAAGGATGCCTTTGACTTCAGTTACTCACGCAGCTTCCTCTCAGCTTCTCACCAGGGAGTGCTGCTTCACAGAAAGAGAAGGAACCGCTAATTAAATATCCAGAGTGGAAAGTGGGAAGGCCAATTAGATAATCACTTCCTCAAGTACACCGAAGCTGTGAGTTAAAGTACAAGAGTGTGGAATTCAAAGCCTGACGGATCTGGGTTCCAATTTGGGTTCTGTTGTTTTCCTGCCTGTGCAATCTTGGCAAATCTCAGAACCTCTCCCTTTGAGTGGGAGTAATATCAAACTTGAAGAGTTGTTGGGAGGATTACAACAGATGTGGGTAAACCATGTCAACTCAATATAAATGCTAAATGAAGTATTAAGAAAATTTTTGTTTTTATGTCTCTCAGTAGCACTTGATGCAGTTTTCTGTGCAGGGCAAGTTTTAAAACATACTTTTAATTAAAAACAATGGGTCATATACTAGGCAATGGAGATGGATTGCAACATGGAGGCCATCTTTTACATGATGTCAGGGCTACTTAAAAAATATTTTAAATGTATTCTTACACAAAATGGGGGTCCCACAAAGGTCTCTTGGTAAAGTCAGACAAGAGATGATAAGTCAGGTGTGCTGGTCTTTCCACCTGCTTTTCAACCCAAATAGATAAAAGGTCATGCTCTTCCAGGGTATATATTTTTATCTAAAATATAATAACAAGAAAAAATAAATTACAAAATAAAAACAGATGTTCTGACTTTAAAAACCACACACAGTCACAGGCTGATTGTGCTACCTAGGGCATCTTGGAACCTGAATAAAGATGAAGCCAAATGATGGCAATTTCCCTTCAAATACTTGGATGTCTAGAGCTTGGACCAGGGTGTTGTCCTCTGTGCCCTCTAAACAATATGTGACACAGGTTATTTAACTACTGTGCAACGGTCTTCTCTTGAAAAATAAAGAATGTAAACCTTCCTCTTTTTATGTCTTAATGATATCTCCCTGACTCCACTTAGGAACAACAGAAAATACAAATGGGCTGATAGGCAAGTCAGTGCTTCATCTCCCTCCAGACAACTTGGACACTTTCCCAGGTTGTCAGCATGTCAACGGGACCCAAGCCACCACTTCTAGAACCAATTCAACCTTGCAAAAGGGTAGGAAGCACCATGTTTCTTCAGCACAAAGCATTCTTTCAATTGTGAATCACAAGGGCCCATACTCCTGAGAGCCAATTCCTGGTTTTCTAACGTTGTTATGCCTTAGATAAGAAGAAGCCTGTCTTGGGGAGCCCTTTGACATATACATAAACAATAATGTATTCCCTGTTACTCCAAACTCTCCTGCCATTGCACTTTTGATAATAATCAGAGATAACGTGCTCAGCTAAGAACACATTTCTATCCTGCTCATTTTCTCCATCTCTTTCAGGATGCTTTGAAGTTGGTGTTGAAATGTGCCATCTTATAATCATCCCCATGGCAACAAGCTGTGAGATGACAAACAAACAGAGGGTTAAGACTTCATTGCAAGAATCAAGCAGATGGACAAGTCAGGCTGTGAGGGAGAAAACCTTTATTTAAACATAAATATCATCAAGAAGAAAATGAAAAAATAAGAAATCGACTAAAAGCAAACTAGAAAGAGAGAGTATCAGTTCGTTTACACCATGTTAACTCTCCAGTTAGTTAACTTTGTGCTAAGACCATCTTTAAATCAAGCCCACATAGGACATGGCCTGGGCTGTGGACATGTGAAACAGAAAGCCATGGATGGGGCTCCAGTTGGGGGTTGAGACTCACCCCAACATGGCCATGTCTAACTTTGCTCCCTGTACAGAAGAAGTCAGAGGAGGTTCCTGGTATAAATCTTATAGATTTATAAGAAGGAAGTCATCTTATCAAAACTTGGTGGCCACGTGGCTCTAAGCCAGGCTTCTAGGGCTCTGTAGTCTCAGAGGGAACAAGGGCAGGTGGCCAGGGTGAATTCCTCACCTTGTGGCAGAATCAGGCCTTGGGGCAGTCATAGTCTACACTGATGGAACCAAGATGAAGAAGGATGTGATACTGGGCTAAGCACTTGTCAAGGGTTGAATTGTGTCTCCTCAAATTCATATGTTAAAGTTCTGCCAGTACCTCAGAATGTGACTTTATTTGGGAACAGGGTCATTGCAGATGTAATTGGTTAAGATGAGGTTATATTGCAGTAGGATGGGCCCCTAATCCAATAATGACTGATATTCTTATAAAAAGGGGAAATTTGGATGCAGACATGCACACTGGGAGAATGCCATATGAAGATGAAGGCAGAAACCAGGTGACACATTTACAAGCCAAGGAACACCAAAGATTGCCAGCAAACCACCAGAAGCTAGAAGAGAGGCCTGGAACAGATTCTTTCTCACTTCTTCAGAAGGAATGAACCCTGCCAGCACCTTGATCTCAAACTTCCAGCTTCCATAACTGTAAGAAATTCATTTCTGTTGTTTAAGGCACCCAGTCTGTGGTAGTGTTAGAGGAGCCGAAGGAAAGGATCATGGTACTTTTCCAGAAAGCTGCTCCCCAGGTCGCATTAACACACTGCTACTTTCTATCCTGGAGCCAAGGCAAACACCAAGCTGAGTAGCCACCATGAAACTCTGCCCTCACATAGCTTGCTACACTTATCCAGTGCGGAGTATATTATCAGATGAGTGAATGATACTTTGATCCTTCTCCCAGAAGGTGAAGGTAGCAGAAAGTCCTTCTAATTGCTCTGCTGTGGGAACCAATGACATTGATCCAGACAGAGCAGACAAGGAAAGGCAGCTGCTGGTGTTGATCTTAAACTCTAGTATTTTAGAAAAGCCAACTTCTGCTTAGTGAAAAAATTCTCCAAGACCAGCTCTTCAAGAAAACATGTTCTCCTTCATACTCAGAAGAGTACAGGTTAAATTCCAACTGTAACCAACTCAAACATTGTATCATTTGATATCAGGCAAATTTTATTCTATTAAAGGAAGCTGAAAGTAAGTAAGCTCAAAATTGCTAACATTTCATAATGTTATTGCTTTTTCATTCTAATGAGATTCCTTTTCATGGATTTAGATATCTTATACAAAGAGCACAAGAGGAAAAAGTATAATTTTAGAATTTTATACTGTCTGTTGACAAATATGCTATTGAGAAAACATTGTGGGAAGGAGAACAAAACTGTTTTTTATAGAGGCCTCGGTGGTAAGAGGAAGCGACCTTCCTTGCCCAGGAACCCCCAGGGGCGAAGGGGAGGAGAACTGGTCTGGTGGAGCTCTTCCCAGCTTCAGTGAGAACAGCTCCTCTGGTCTGTCTCCTGTTCTCTGTTTTGTTCTGTGTAAAGGTTTTCAAGTGGTACTTGCCATTCTGGCTTTCATCACAGCCTTTCCAGTACACTCTCAGCTGCTCCCTAAATTAAAAGCTACTCCCATCAGGTTAGTCTCCTATACATGCTGATTTCTACTGTAAGGATTGGACTCCCAACTCCTCACTGCCTAGAGAGGCCCTTTCATGCTCCAGCAATCTAGTTATACTATCTTCAAGGAGAAAAGAATCACCCCGCCTCCAAAGTCCTCTGTAAATAACTGTCTTGCTTTACTTTGTTGAACTGCCTAAGAGCTGACCTTTATGATTTAAATATTACAATCTCTCACTTGTTTATAAATTACCTTAAAGTTATTCTTCTGCTGTTCCATGTGTACATGTGATGTTATCCAAAGAGACCACAACTATAAGCTCCTTTAAGGTGAGGGTTCACATTTTGCCCCTTGTATTACTACTATTAACTCCAGCATCATACATAAGAATGAAATAAGTTAAAAGAATAAGTATTGCCCAATTTGATTACAAACATCAAAAATATTACTTTTGCCATTTAACTAATTTGTATCAAAAATAAGTATAGGCTTTAAACCCTGAAATAAATATGATTCCTAACACATAGTTCTAAGAATTATTCAACTAAAAGGTGACAGAAAAAAGTAAGAGAACTGTATTTTAAAATTAAAAAGGATACAAAAGCTTTAAAAAGTAGGAGAGGAGGGTAACTCAGAAAGGAAACAAAACAAATTTTTATCATAAATACAATCTAAAGAATCGGAGGGCTTCAAATTCAACAGAAATGACATAAGAATGTTGCTTTAATTATATAACATCTTCTAATAACTTTCTGTACAAAAATTAAGAATTAATTATTGATGGTTCTCCTTAGATATGAGCCAATACACCATTTATTAGTATAGATTTATTTCTACCCCTAAACTCCCAAAGAACTGAATTTTTTATATATAGGATTTCACAAAATGTCACTCTCTTCCTTCATTCCAGATGCAAGTTTGCCCTTTCCAACGCTGCTTAAATGCCAGCAATGATGCAAGAAACAGACTTCATGTTAGTAAAAGAAAAACCTTGAAGCATCTCTTATGAAGGCTAAAGAGAAGAAGATCATTTTATTATGCTTAACCTGTGTTTCTGCATCACTGAATTAAGCATGCAAGGAAACCTAACTGGATCCAAAGAGGGTAAGAGAGACCCAGAAAGGATTCACAAGTACAAAGACATACTAAAAGCCAACAAACCAGAACAAAACACTGACAAAAGGTCAAGGTTGAAAAAAAATCAGTAAAGCAGCATCTCAGTTTCCTTCAATTTTAGAGTAAGTGACCATATAATTTATTGTCCAAACTGGGACACTGAGGCATTATCAATATTTATGATAAAATATCAGATGGAACATGATAAAACGTCAGATGGAACGACCACTAATTATGATGGACATCCAGGACATATGGTCACCGTACTGTAGGTGCTGCTGCTTCACTGATGATGAAAAACAGTACACACTGAAGCATGAGCACACACTGCTGGCATTACTAAGCACTTTCTAAGTGCCCAGCACTGCTATGTCCTGGGACCATCTACAGCGGTGAGATAAATGCCTTAAAGTACAGTCTAGTTGTGGGCATCAGCTTCAAAGGGTCTCCTAACTACTTCTGAAATTAGATAAAATTATAATCCAAATGATATCTGTTTATTTAAATTTGATGACCTGCAAAATAGTGTAAAAGGTGCTAAGAAAGATGCAAAAAAGTCAAGACAGGGTTTCTTTCTTCAAAAGTTCATAATCTAGTTAGGGGAAAAGACTATGTGTAAAAAGTTAAATTACTACATAAGACGTCAACATCAGTTCAACGAAGCAGTGGAAGCAATGTCACAGGACGGAGCATAATTCATGACAAATTAATTTTGAAAAAGGAATTCCTAAGGGGGTTCCTCCAGGGAAGTCCCTTCAGTCAGGATGATAGGAATGGCTTTATGCAGAAGCATCTGTCCCAGTCTTGAAGCCCAGGTAGGAGTGAGGCAGATGGAGAGGAGAGACAGAGAGAAGTGGAATATGAGAACTGAGTTCAGAGGCAGGAACGTGTGGGGCGCCCTGGAAGACCACAAATCAACTGGAATGGAGCAGTAGATTCAGTGCTGGAAAGATACTTGCCTCTTAGAAATAGTTTCCCAGGGAGATTTTTTACCTTCTTAAAAGCAGCAGTAGGAGGAGAACCACCACCAGCAGCATATGGCAACTTTTATTTGCAACGGACAGCAGGCTGTGCACAGACCTGGATGCCTCCTACCTTTTCCACAGCACTGGTGACCTCCCAACCACTCTTGGCTGCCAGGTTTTTGAGAGCCTCCACATTGGCGTTACTCAGGGATACCTAAACACAAATATCGTAAAAGCCGAGAGTTCAATCCACAGAGATGTGATCAGATAGTTTCTGCTTAGAAAATGGGAACTGTTCAAGCCAAAGTGACAATGCTAATCTTACAACTAAGCTGTGGTGACATATGACATAATTTGTCTTGAACACTCACTTCGGAATTCAGAGAAAAAAAAATGAGGCCTGCATGCTTAGCAAATTAGTATTGTTTTAATTTCTGTCCTGAGCAAAGACAACATAACCTTTCTGTAAGACTTGTAATCAAAGTGTAATTAGCACACTTAGATTTCTTTTTATAATTTATGGTCAAAAACCTTAAAATGACTAATACTGTGTGGCTGTGTTATAAAAATGCAAGCTGGAAGGCATGTCTTTTCAGCATCAATCACAGTGAGACACCAGATTTCAGTGTCACACTGCTTGAACGCATTTAAGGGCAGACCATTCTGAGTCTGTAGTTTGGAAACTGTGCATGTAATTCCGACAGTGTTCGGAAACTACTAGTTGGTAACCACTTACTAATAGTTTGGTTTTGTTTCATTTTGAGATGACTGGTTGATATAATTTAGCTTTTCATCTAACCTGTGTTGGCACAAACTGAATCAGTTAAACATGGGAACTTTCATGTTTATGATGATGTCCTTTTCCATCTTTACACGGAGAGCTCCAAATCATAAAACTGTTACCTGGTTGTTTATGTCCCATTGTACACAAACTGGCACTTCTTCTTTGTGGGAAGTAACATATTTTCTGGGAAAAAATTAAAATGTTAACTAACACGTTATAATAATAATGTTATAAATAGTAAATAAAGTTTTCTTCCCTGCATTTGGCACACAAGTCAACATGACACTTTCCTGAACTGAAATCAGCAATTTTAAAAACTGCTTTACTAGTGGAACAATCAAGAAAAAAATTTCTGTCACAGTTAGACTCCAGTCAGAAAATATCAGACCTTTTCACTTTACATTTGTGAGAACACACACCCTGAGAGGGGCTCTTTGTTGTATAATTTGTTAGAGAAGAGAATGTGGCCTCAAATCCTTACACCCACATCCCTTACCTGCCTAAGCGAATTCTCTTGCGTGCAATAGCTCCACGATACCGTCTAAAATCGTCCTTAAATAAAAAACAAAGTAAAATCAATAAATTTCTAATATTTTAATGCTACAATCCTTGAGTCCCTCTTGCCAAATTCAGTTGAAGGGATTAGCTGGGACACACATGGTGTGCTGTGTGGACTGCACTCATCACCCACGAAGGGCAAGTGCATGGATAAAAACAAAACCTTTACAGCCCTTTTCTTTCCTTTGTTAAAGTGGTGACTGTTACCATTTCTCTTATCAGAATTATACATACATCTCACTAGATGTAAAGAAGCAGGAGAAGAGAGTCAGAAACAGGACATGGAAGATGATGTGCTATCCACAGAGGCACGTAGCTGAGCAGAGGTAAGGTCTCCAGGGCCTCTATCATTCTACCAAATGCTTAGAGTGAGCTGGGTGTAAAAAAAAAAAAAAAAAGAAACGAAAAAGTCCATTTTACTTTGTGATGTTAAAAAAAAAAATCAAAGAGGAATAGCCTTGGAAGTTGTTGCTGGTGTGAGGAGATTCTGCATGGAGCTCTGTACCCACCACTTCTCCCAGAATAAGTGGTCTGATTACTGAACTCATGTGCTAATAACTGACCTTTGATATGGGCTTGATTCTGGGAAATGTGACCAGTTCTTCCTTATCATCGACAGCATTATAAATGAGAAAAGCACTGTTGATGTGACGGCCTTGGCCCTTAGACCACTCCTGACAGTCAAAGGCTTCCACGCGCACTCCCACTTCGACACTGCAGAGGGCGACACAGAACTGTGGGCAGAGAACCAGAGCGTGTCAGGCCTCCTCTGCCCATGCAGCCACCACCTCTTCTGAGGGAGGAAAAGAATGAGGGCTCTGGGCTTTTCTCTTTGTCATCGCAAATCTATGCAGCTGTTAAAACTCATTTCATCAGGTTGATGGATCTGACGTACAAGCCCCTGGGAGTACTCCCACTTCACTTTCCTCCCAAGTGGAAAAAAGGCCAGTTAGGAAATACTTTATATACCTGCATGAACATATTTTGGTAATGGTGAATGGGGGAGTTAATAGTGCCAAAGTCAAGTTTTCTCCCCTAAAAACAACAGTTCCATATTAAAAAGCATTGAACGCTAAAATTGGATAGGAAACATAGATGCTGTTTTTCACATTTTAAAAGAAAAAAAAAACCCTGAAATTAAATCTTTTCATGTGTACCAAGAATAATAAAAATAACTGGGAAGTGGTTTGGACTTCATGGTGATAAATAACAGGTTCATTAGGAGTCAGTTGACCATAAAGTCACCAGGACTCTTTTGAGAGTGAAAAAAAGAGTTAATAATTATGACAGGTACACACCAAGACTGAACTGGGCCAACTGGGTGTCACCCTTATTATGAGACAAAAACAAACCCATCACAATTTACTAAGTGCAAAGAGACTCCAAGCAGAAAACAGAGTTAAAATGAGTTGTTTGTAGATGTTGAAGATTGAGTGACATTAAAAAAAAATTAGAAGGAACTTGGTTACTTAAAAGTTCTTCCTACACTCACCTCTAAACTGAAAAAACAAATTATTCACGTGCAAGTTTGAATTTATTCGCAGTAGCCTAAGAGCACTAGAAATGCTTTACCAGGTCTGAAATGTATTGTTGACAATGGCATTGAAAACAAGCCGATCTCCAACAGCAGATGGTCCCCGGAACTTAAACATATCCACAGACTTCAGAAGTGGGTGTGCCCGACAGAGGCGGCTGGTGAAACAAAGGGAAGAGAGGAGGAAGAGGTCACTCTCCACAGTATTTTCATGAACTGCTGATTTGCTTAACGAATGCTACAAATATTCATTTTTTTATTTTATTAAATGCTTATTTATATTTTGAAAGAGAGAGAGAGAGAGTACAAGTGGGAAAGGGGCCGAGAGAGACGGAGAGAGAGAATCTGAAGCAGGCTCCAGGCTCTGAGCTGTCAGCACACTGCCCGACTCAGGGGTTGAACACATAAGCTGTGAGATCATGACCTGAGCCAAGGTTGGATGCTTAACTGAATGAGCCACCCAGGAGCTCCTCAGTGTGCTTTCTAAATAAGTATCTTTTAACTCTTTTAAGAATGAAATGAATAACTTGATTATGTATGTTGAGAGTGGGTCTGTACACTCCCTGCAAGTATTTTGGGAAATACCATGTCCCCAAGCTGGGGGGTCTTTACTGAGGTTTTTGGTGCTTCTGCTCTTGTGGGGACAGTCCTGCTCTTGTTTTGTTCCCTACTTAAGTCCCTTTGAAAAACAAACTAAAGTCTTCTGTCCTCATGTGAGGGTTCTGTTCATTCTGACAGCTCATGACCATAATTACAGGAAGTTGTGACTCCCAGATTGGAGGGGGGCACAGTGAAGGAACCACCAGCTGGTGCTATTCACACTAGTTTCTTAGCTTTATAGTTAACTGAATTCACTCACATATCAAAAGATTATTTTCCCCTACAGGAAAATTACTTGGATTGCTACACAAAGCCTGAAAAGCTACAAAGTATACATTTTACAATTGTGTGTGTGTGTGTGAAATTTTGAAATATTTGTAAAGTATATTTAATCTTAGAAAGTTACTTTTGTAATTTTAGATCCCCACTGTAGTCATTCAATTACTTAAAGGAATTGTGGCAACACTAAGTGAACAGATTCTGCCCTAGTTAATTATATCGTAAGCCTTTATGATAGAACAGGTTCAAATTCTTCATTGCCGTTGAGAAAGACACTATCATTTTAAAAACAAGCTCTGTTATTTGTGCATAATTACACAAAGGATTACTACAGGTTTCTAACTATAGTAACAATTATATACATACTCATAATAGCATTCTTTAAATTTTGGGAAAAATGAAATCTTAACAACTTTCTATGGTTACAAAAATGTCACTAGGGCAATTCCTGTCCAAATGCATTTTAGAATACACAGTGTTCCTTAAAACTGCTCAACTGCCTACATGGTTCCATTAATAATAAAATAGCTTTCTTTGAAACTGAGGAGTACTTAAGTATTCTTCCAAGTTCCTCTCTTTCTCATCTTATTTTTCAGTCAGTCCTTTGGCCATAATGATTCTAACCAGCACCTTCAAAGGTCCAACCAAATTGTAAACTGTCTTTTAAAAAGTTTGCAACTTGACTGTTTTTAAGTGTAAAGGTTGTCTTCCATTTCTATTCTGCATCCAGCATGTCATAACTATCATTACAGAAGCTGCAGTATTAAAAGATCACCATTTACAATTCAGAATAAAGCACTAGAACTATCATTTCATTTTTATTTTTGAGCCAAGAACATAAACATTCACCTTCAAACAAAAGGGCAAATTAGGGGTGCCTGGATGGCTCAGCAGGTTAAATGTCCAACTCTTGGTTTCAGCTCAGGTCATAATCTCGTGGTTTGTGAGTTTGAGCCCTACATCCAGCTCCACATGTGGAGCCCTCTTGGGATTCCCTCTCTCTCATTTTCTCTCTCTCCCTCTCTCTGTCTCTCTCCCTCTCTCTGCCCATCCCCTACTTATGCTCAATCTCTCTCAAAATAGATAAAATATGAAAAAAAAAGGATAGATTAATCCTAAACTAAACAAATAAATGGCTTATCTTCTCATTTTAATAAAAGGCAACACTCTCCTCTCCTTCTCTCCTTAGTCAGCTCAATAATCAGGACTCAGACCCTTTCTAATTTCTCCCCACTGGACACAACATCAGACACCAAAAGTCAAAGCCAAGAACCTTGCAGAAATAGTGGCCACAGTCTCCATCCAAGCCATAATTTGGCCACCAAATGTATTTCCATGATGGTTTGCATGGGGTGGGAGGACAAGTTCAATGCTCTGAACGGCAGTGCTGCTTGTAGAAACCATTCCTTCCTCTTCATCACAAATGGGATCTGAAAGGGGGATGTAGATATTAATACTGGTGGAGTTAACTGCACAACCTTGGACTATGGCTTTTTATTCCTACCTGCACACTTAACTCATGGGATTTTCAGAAAAATTAAATTATTCCCAAAGACTTAAATCTCCTGAGGAAATAAACAGGTTTGATTCTCAAGAGTGACCTTCATAATGGTGGATATTTACAGTGAACTGGATAGCTGATTAGAAAGGCCCTTTTAGAGATTGTATTCCAATCTATCTTACAAATCCTTTGGAATTTTGATTAAAATGATTACATTTAAACTTGAGTTGTTTGGAGTGGAGAAGGGACAGATCAGGGTGGGGAGAGTCAGAAAGAAATTTGGGAGTTAATGGAGATGTTACTAACTTGACAGTGGTGATGGTTCTATGGGTGTACACATCTCAAAACTTATCAAACTGTGTACTTCGAATATGAGCACATGAATTTAGGGCATATCAGTTATTATTTGTATTTATAATAATTATTTATTATGTTATTTATAATAATTGTATTATGTATGCATATTATTATTTATGGCACATCAATTATACCTGAATAAAGTTGTTAAAATGAAAGGAATTTGAGCTATAAAGGACCACGGATACAGAGTATCTGGAATAGTTTGCTCTAGTATAAACTTCAGAATGGGAATGTGTCCTCCGTGGTTACTGTTTTGCAGTGAATGCAGTCAGGAACAGAAATGGCACAATGAGTTGTACTTCTCAGTGTCCTGCTTCCTTTGAATCATATCTGCTTCATTTACAGACAATTTGGTTTTTACTCTCAACAATGGAGAAATCATTTACTCTGGATGCAAAGCAGTAAAATGTATTCAATTATGTGCTCTTGCATCATCTAGTGACTCCTCAGCTAGGCCTAATCTTGTGTGCCTTTGTTGAGGCGGTAGAGGGAGGATTTACAAATCAGGGGGACCATCTCGGTTGTCCTGTCAGAGGCAGAGCTGAGTTTGAAGTGTAAGAGTACAGATTGGGCAGCTGTTGGGAAATGGGAATGGGGCCATTCTTGGCAGTCACATATAAGAGAGAGAGAAGTGTGGCTACAAAGACCTGAACTGCATTTGTTCATGAGATTTTTAGATATATAATTAATTGACGGCCTTTTAATTCTTTTCCCCTTCATTTTGCTGATCATTTCAGTCTTCTACTTGAAAACGTGTCAGAAACTTCCAGAAACATCCTAGTATAAAAGCCCAGGAGCGCCTGGGTAGCTCAGCTGATTAAGTGGCCGATTTTGGCTCAGATCATGATTTCAAAGTCTGTGAGTTTAGGCCCCGCGCTGGGCTGTGTGGTGACAGCTCAGAGCTTGGAGAGTGCTTTATATTCTGTGTCTCCTCTCTCTGCCCCTCCCTTGCTCACATTCTGTCTCTCTCTCTCTCTCTCAAAAATAATTAAAACATTTTAAAAAATAAAAAAAATAAATAAAAGCCCAAATCCTTCTCTTGGCTAGGGAAGTCCTTCCTTCCTTGTCTGGTCTGTGTCTACTTCTCCAATCTCAGCTAGTCTGATTGCCACTATTACCAATCTCCTCCCATCATATTCTTTCTCAGTCTCTCTCTGTTCTAGCTAGGAGGGTCTTTTTTTCAGTTCTATACCTAAGTACTGTCTTCAACATCAGGGCATTTGCACATGTTGTTCTCTCTACCAGTAGCACTACCACTTTCTTCTACTTACCTCTTATCCCCTATTTTTATAGGAAAGTAAATTTTACCACTCCAAGATATGCCTCTTTGGCATGTTGCTTCTTTTGGGCTCATTATTTTTAAGAAACTATAGATAGAAAAGAAGCTCTGAAAACCCAGTAGGAGGTATCCTTTAGTAAGAAACATTTATGTGTATAAGAAAAATCTCTATTTTTAAGGATGTTTCCCTTGCTGTACCAGAAAGAGGAGGATGACTCTGAATCTAGAAATTTACCAGAGAAGACAATGACTTAAATCTACCTAACAACCTTATCCTTGTTTACTCTGCTTTTTTCAGGAACCTCCCAAAACAGACTCACCACCTCCAATATCATCTTTTGTCTTTGGCTGAAGATGGTATTTAAGGTGATAGCTTTTGCCATTTCAATTAGTTACTCATTTTTTCTGGATCTCTCCCATGTATACAGGCAGTATACTGTAATTAAATTTTTGTTTGATTTTCTCCTGTTAATGTCTCATGTCAATTTCACTCTCAGACCAACTAGAAGAAGCTTACAGAGTAGAGTAAAACTTTTCCACCCCAACACTCATGTTGGCTCATCTTAGTCATCACTTCCTCAGGAAAGTCTTCCCAATTCTAACAGCTAATTCTCATGTATGAGCTCACACATGCACCTTTTTTTACAATGATACTTTTATGTTTCTTTGTGTGATCTTTCTCTGACCCACTAGATCCGAAGCTCCTTTGGACAAGAATTGGTTTTCTTTTTAAATTATAATATGATTCCTGAATCTGGGTGCTTAGTAAATATTTATTGAATGAATAAATGAATAAATTTAATTTTCCTGATTTACTCCAAATTCATAGTCCTTGCTTTCAAGAGAATTTTCTAGATAACAAAATATACTTATGTACACTTTTGTATGTTGTTTGCTAGAATTCCTACTGCTTTGCATTTTTCACTTAAACAATATTATAGACTCTTCAAGCTTTTCCAGTTTTGTGCGTGTGAAATATCTTACATTGGTTATAATTTGGATTTCCCTGATTAATGAGGTTCATCATCTTTTCATATGGGTATCAAACTGTCTCATTACCTCTGAATGAAATGTCTATGTCATTTGCTTCAAATGCTACTTCTCTCCCATTATTTTATCCTTTCTTTCTGGAACTTTGATTAGATGCATTTTAGACTTCTTACTCCTTTCTCTATGTATCCAAATCTTTCATATATTTCCCATTTCTTTGCCTATCCATCTTCATTCTAGGTAACTCCTTCAGATCTATCTTCTAGTTCCTGTCTTATCTGCTCTTTAATTCATTTGCTGAGCTTTAAATTTAAATTATGATATATATTTTTGTATAGAAATCCTCTTTGTTTCTTTGTCAAACTTTCTAGGTAATTTTTTTTTATTCCTGAATAATACTTTTGATTCTTTTCTTTCTTTTTTAAAATATTTTAATGTTTATTTATTTTTGAGAGAGAGAGACAGAGTGCAAGTGGGGGAGGGGTAGAGAGAGAGGGAGACATAGAATCCAAAGCAGGCTCCAGGCTCTGAGCTGTCAGCACACAGCCCGATGCAGGGCTTGAACCCACAAACTGTGAGATCATGACCTAAGCCAAAGTTGGAGGCTTAACCAACTGAGCCACCCAGGCACCCCGATTCTCTTTTATTTCTTAAAATATATTAACGTTCTTACTTAATATTCTTTATACGATAAATGTAGTAATTGTAGTCCTTGTGGGCCTCCTCAAAGGGGCCACTTCCTCAAAGCACCTTCAGAGGGTGCTTCCTCTGGATTTTTGTGACTTATTTATTTTTATCTTTCAGGATTTTTGACTAGGAGTTCATATTCCTTGTATCTGTATCTGTGGGAATTCTTGAGAGCTGGGCTTAAAGTCATTTCTCCAGAGGTTTGCATTTGTGGCTGCCAACCACCTGGGGGTACTATAACACAGTGCCACTTCACAGTAAATTTCACTTGGTCTGTTTCAGTCCAAACAAGTGATGTGAATTCTGATACCAAATCTACATAAGAACGCACTTGTGATTGAATTCTCAAAGAGAAATTGAGACTATTTTCCCTAGGGTTAAAGCTGAAATAGGAAAACATCCCTACCAAAGCTCTTTGAGGATTGGGATTTTTCCAGATGATTCACTGAGAGTATTGTTTTTTTTAGGTTTGCAGCTCTGTATAAAGGTCTCTGATCTAACCTCCACCTAACATGGGCCACTGGCTTTGTTTCCTAAGCCTATGCAGGCCCATTAAAACACAAGTTCTAGGTTTTCTAGTAACTACAGAGTCCTGAGAAAATGCCAGCTTTTTTATCTCCTTACACTGCTGCATTTGTATTTTCTAATTATGTCTGGACTTCAAGATTTTCTCTTATTTTTTCTGCCTGTTGAGATGTGTTGGAAAGATGTTTGTAAATATTTTATCCAGAAATTTTAGTTTGTTCTACACACCAAGTCCACCACATTGCTGTAATCAGAATTGGACTGCTTCCTAAAGAGATCTTTAAAAGGCACATGAAATTTTCAATCTTTCAACTTTTTTTCTTTTTTTTTGCTATTACTGACTTTGTTACATGATGTCCTCTTAATATTTAAAACTGTACTGATTGAGTGTTTTAGGTTATTATCTCTTGCTTTTTTTGTTCAAAATAAATGTAACTATCTCTAAAATACACTGTTAAATGAAAATAAGAAAAGTGCACTGATGTTTGAATATTGTACTCTGTGTGTGTGTGTGTGTGTGTGTGTGTGTGTGTGTAATATTGGTTGTCTTTCAAGATAGGAAATGGGTAACTGGGAGATACTGATGATAGAAGTCTTACTTTTTCTTTAATGTTTATTTATTTATTTTGAGAGAGAGAGAGGGAGGGAAAGAGAGACAGAGCACATGTGTATGTATTGGGGAGGGGAGAGAGAGAGGGAGACAGAGAATCCCAAGCGGGCTCCACATCATCAGTGCAGAGTCTGACGCAGGGCTCAATCCCATGACCATGAGATCATGACCTGAGTCAAAATCAAAATCGGGACACTCAACCAACTGAGCCACTAAGGTGCTCTGGAAGTCTTATATTTTAACTGAATGCCCTCTTACACCTTTTGAACTTTCACCCTGTGCATATGTACTACCTATTTCTAAATAATTTAAAATAATAATAAAAAATTGAATAGGCCATATATTATGGAAGACACTGTAAAGACATAAATATAAGGCAATTCCTTCTTTTCTGAGGGATAACTTTAAAGAAAAGGCTACTCGATTCTTATAAAGACATACATGGCATACACTGGGATACAAAGAGGTGGGTACTAGGGCAGGCCATGTATGCATAAGCATGTATGCAGAAATATACTGAGTACTGGTGACCTCAGTGCAGAAGCATGCTTATTTATAGATAACTCCCAATCAGTGAAGAAGTATAGCTTTCCTAGGTGTATACTCAAGCATGGTAAACAAACTTCACCCTTTCTACAGGCTTCCAAATAAGAGTATACCTGTCCAGAGGTCAATTTCAATACTTGTACTTTGGATGTTCTTTAAGCATTGTGTCATCATTCTGTTTGGACAATTTTGCATTCATTCTACAATTTCAGGTCAGGAACTTTGACCTGAATTAAGGTCATTTTAGCCTTAGTTTTCCTTCTCATAACCAGAGAGGATCAACACAGAATAGTGCTCATAAGGATTTGATTTTTTACTAAAAAAATAATTAAAATGCTCCAAGTCTGAAGTCTTTTCCTACATATATATACAACCAAGCTTCCAAACAGTGACTCAGTGGTACAAGAACACATATGAAAGAAGTTCTGCTTTTACATAATCTAATCTCATCTGTTTCCCTTTTGTTCTGAAAGCATATGATTTTGACTCAAATTTTTCACTGTTTCAATGATATGCATTTCAATCACACAAAATCTTAAAAGAGATTTCAGCTAATTCTGATATTACTGTCAATGTTAGAACCCTGAGTTTTCTAAAAACATGGTTCAGTAACAGAGATGATCTAGCTATCTTTCTTTAGAATGTGTTGTCCAGTTCAAGACAAACTCAAGTGATAGTGTAAGTTGGGGGAAAGGCTGAGGGAGTGGGAGGTAGGGAGGGAAAGAGAGAGAGAGAGAGAGAGACAGAGACAGAGAGAGAGAAAGAGAGAGAGAATCCTAAGCAGGCTCCATGCTCAGCACATAGCCTGATGTGGCACTTGATTCCACAATCCTGGGATCGTGACCTAAGGCAAAATCAAGAGTCAGACACTCAACTGACTAAGCCACCGAGCTGTCCCCAAAAATCTATAATTCTAAACTGAACCAGGCCTGTAGAGGTGATCTGCCCAACTTCCTAACAAACTGAAACTGAAGTCAATTACGATCATTTTACTTCTACGTGTGAATGGCTATAGCATGTGAGAATGACTTTTCTATTCCCAATTCAGTGGACATTTTTTTTCCTCACTTCCTGGAACACAGATGATCACTCATTTCTTCATGTAAGTTTACTCCCTTGCGTTATGATGCTAGTCTCTCTCGTTCTGACTGCATCCCTCCCACTTAGTCCCTCTAGGTCTTCTTTATAGATTCATCCTCCTCCTCTGATCATCTCTTAAATGGCCATGTTCTGCAGGTTCCACTCTTGGCTCACCACCCCTGTACCTCTATGAGCCCTTCCTGGGTGACTGTAGGTACTGGCGTCATTTGAATTACCATTTGTAACCTGCTATGTCTCAAATTAATCTCCTCTGTTTGGTTTTGTCATTTTGGTTGTTCCACAAGCACATCAGACTAAACTGAACTCATCATCCCTCTCATCAAATCTGCTCCTCTCCTGCCCCTCATATGCATTAGTCAGTTAATGATACTACCATTAACTAGTCAGTTGCTCAGACCAGAAATCTGAGAGTTACCCTGAACTTCCTCACCCATCATTCCATCAGTGACCCTATTCTGCTGATCTGACTCCTTGAATATTTTTGGGCTTTCCCGTCCTCTCTCTACTACCATGGCCTGGAGTAGTCACTCCTCACCCTTTGTCTGGTCTCCTTCCGTCTAGTCTCTTCTCTACACAGAGTGACCATATTAAGTGCCAGCTTCATTATGCAACAACCCTGCCCAAATCTTTATCAGCTCTCTTCAAGGAAAGAAGAAAGGTTAAGGCTCTAAGCCTCACCTAAGAGAGCCTCCATGACACAGTCCTATATTTTCATGTCCTGCCTCCTTCCACCTTGAATTTTCCTTGTAGTTTGCCCTTGCTCTCATGGTTCAGCCACTTGATTATTTTAACAAAATGCATTTAAAATACATTTTGGTAAAGAGACCATCTTTACAAAAGGACAGACTCTTCTCAGCATAGTAATTTAATGATGAAGTCTTCATTTCTTCAAAAGTAGCTTTGTGGGATGCAGTTAAACGTCAGGACTCCTGAATATGCCTCAGGTCATGAACTCACGGTTCATGAGTTTGAGCCCCACATTAGTGCAGAGCCTGCTTGGGATTCCTTCTCTTCCTTTCTCCCCTTCCCCCATTCCCTCACATAAGCCCACAGGATCTCCCTCAAAATAAATAAATAAACTTAAAAAAAAAATAAGTAGCTTGGTAATGGGCATTGTCTTTTAAAAGGTCTGCAAGAATAGCAGCTTTTGAAAACCTTTTTTGCCAAACCAAAGGTCATCTGTGAGGTTGTCCCCGGGCCATGATGATGTCATGCTGGGAAGAATAAAAGCCCCCACACACAGGTCATCCCTGCTTCTGCCTTTTCTCTCCCCTCATGCCTCTATGTCTCCTCTTCTTCCTTCCTGTCTTTTAATGTTCTCATTCTGATCCTTTCTCCCCTCCTTTCCTTCCTCTTCTACCAGTGTCTGCCTTTGGAGCCCAGGAGAGTTGAACCTTCTATGAACTTCCTGTCCCACTGCTGGAAGCAGAGTGGCTCAAGCTAGACCACTCTACTTCCCCTCACCACTTAGCTCTCCCTGAAAGGTCGTCTCCCCTGGGGCTGCAGGAGATGGGGTCAGAAGTAAATGAAGGGCAGGGGAGGGGCAAAGTGGCCCTTTTTTCCCTGTCATTCTGGCCCCATAAGGCCTCCAAGAGCCTGGGGGTTCACAGCCAGAGAACTAAGACATTCTGGCTCATCAAACACAGTGTTATTGGGAAAAGAGCCAGGAAATAGAAATAGAATCTTATCACTTCCATTCATAGCCCCTGTGATCTTTAGCAAGGCTCTTCATGGCTCACTTTCAGTTTTCTCCTCTGTTGGTATCATAAGCAGCTCATATCAAGTATCTGAATGAGAGATTGCTTAGTAAACTGTGAAGCACCAGAGGGATATATCCCTGCGCTGTTGTTCCTTCATTCTTTGATCACTACTGAGCACGTACTTACTAATAAGGACTGCCTGGCCCCTGTCACCCTTCTTTCCTCTCTCCTCCCCTGGAGATCCTCCAATTTAAAGAGTTCTTAGATTTCTGCACTTATATTTTGAATTGGCCAGACCCTTCCTTCTCTAGCCATCGAGTTTGTTGGGGAAGACATCTACCATTGCCAGCACTGAACTGTAATAACAAGGTGAAAATAAGCGTGCTCTAAGAAAGGACCCCTCTGTTTGTCATAGTCATGTAATTAGAGTTTCCATAAGTAGATTTACAGACCATCAAATTCCCTATTTTCTTTCATCAAATTTGTAAAGGTATCTTCATGATGTAATCGAACTTTCCTTCTCTCTGAAGCCAGATTATGTTCCACATGATCTTGCTCAGTCAGAAGTGTGACTGGTTTTAAATGAATCTAGGGAAGGAAACACATTTATCTTCATTGCCTAGTTAAATTAAAAAAGCACAGCATGGATTTTGCAAAACAAATGACATGTTATACTGTTTTCCAACTCAAAGTAAATAGAGTATTTCTGGGGACACCTGGATGGCTCAGTCCATTAAGCTTCCAACTCTTAATTTCAGCTCAGGTCATGTCTCATGGTTTTGGGACTGAGACCTGATTTGAGCTCTGAGCTGACAGTGAGCCTGCTTGGGATTTTTTTTCTCCCTCTCTCTGCTCCTCCCCAGCTTGAGCTCACTCTTTCTCTCAAGAATAAATAAATAACTAAACTTAAAAATTTTTTAAATGTTTATTTTTGAGAGAGAGACAATGCATGAGCAGGGAATGACAGAGAGAGGAGAAGACAGAGAATATGATGCAGGATCCAGGCTCTAAGCTGTCAGCACAGAGCCCAACGTAAGGCTCAGACTCATGAATTGTGAGATCATGACCTGAGCTGAAGTCAGATGCTTAACCCACTGCGCCACCCAGGTGCCCGGGAAATAATCTTCTTTAAATAATCTTCTTTAAATACATGATATGTACATCTCTTTTTTCAGTAGAAAGGCCTAGTCCTGTTAAGTTATAGCTGTCATTGTGATGTACTCTTACAGTATAGTTTTTTACATACATTTTAGTTTTTCTCTGAGTCCACGGGAATGGCACTTCCTCTGCCACAGGCGAACTGTTGTTCCAGTGGCAGCCCCTTCCCGGTCTCTAGATACAAGAGTGCTATCACTCATCTCCTGATCCAGAGCAAGATAGTTAGGGTGGCTCTTTTCACCATGACCCTGCCATCCCAGTTTTCCTACAGCGTGTGAGGGACTGAAGTTATCCCAAGAAGACTCTGATTCTCCCAGGGGCAGGTGGTAGAACCAGGAGGTTTTTAGAAAATTGCATTTATAAAGTTAAATATCATGAACATTTATTATTTTGTTATAAAATCATCTGTGTGCATATTTAGATTGTTTTCAGTATTTTGCCACTAAAACAATGCTGCATCAGGGCACCTGGGTGGCTCAGTCCGTGAAGCATCCGACTTGGGCTCGGGTCATGATCTCGCGATTCGTGGATTTGAGCCCTGTGTGAGGCTCTGTGCTGACAGCTCAGAGCCTATAGCCTGCTTAGGATTCTGTGTCTCCACCTTTCTCTCTGCCCCTCTCCCAATTTTGTGCTGTCTCTCTCAAAAATAAAAACTAAAAAAAAATTTACCTGCTTTGGATTCTGTGTCTCCATCTCTCTCAGTCCCTCCCCTGCTTGCACTCTGTTTTTGTCACTTAAAAAATAAATAAAACACTAAAATTTAAAAAAAAAATGTTTAAATAGACCATTTCTGGATGTTTTACACATGTTATTTGACTAAATTTTTTTCTTAAAATATCTTTAAACTGAAAAAGTCAATATAGGCTTAATTAACTCTTCATATAATATGTGCTTTAAAGAGTTTCCCAAATATCAATTTTCCTTGATTTTTAAAATTTTCAAGAGGCCCACAAAATAAAAAATTCTTCAAATTAATGAATGAGGAGATGAACTTTGAATCCACTGAATTCTTACTATGAAATGTTTTCTACTTTTTGCAAAATTAAGAGCTCAAAGGAGGGAGAAATAAAGATGTTCTAGAAAGGAAAAGATCTGAAGCCATTGGAAACCTTACAAAACCTGAGAGATTGGGAGAAAAAGGACACAGAATCCACTGGGAAATCCTTCTAACGGCTACCTCAAGAAAGAAGCCAGAGTACACAAGGTGGAGAGTCCCAAATATCACTACGAATAGGAAATAAAATAACCAAGGTCCCAACAAGAGAGACCAAGAGATACCATTCAAAAAACACTCTCTGAAAGGATAGGCCCTGGACAGTCAGAGTCTTCTTGGATATAGCAGCGCTCATAGGTACAGAGAGCATAAAAGGTCTTTAAAACCAACAAGAGCCGGAGAGCTAACTAAAATGATGAAATGAAAGAGCTCTCCTCCAAAGAAACTCCCAAGAAGAAATGACAGCTAATGAACTGCTCAAAACAGATATAAGCAGCATAACTGAACAAGATTCTAGAATAATAATGGTAAAATTAATAGCTAGGCTTCAAAAAAACATAGGGGACATCAAAGAAACTATGGCTACAGACAGAATGGAAAATAAAAATAGGCATGAAGAATTAAAAAATGTGATAAATGAGATACATAATAAATTAGAGGCCTCCAATGCACAGATTGAAGAGGCAGAAAGGAGAATAAGTGATTCAGAAGACACCATTATAGAAAAACAAGAAGCTGACAAAAAAAGAGACAAACTGATCCAGGAACATGAAAGAAGATTTCGAGAGCTCAGCGATACGGTCAAACGCAACAATATCCGTATCATAGGAATCCCAGAAGAAGAGAGAGGGAAAGGTGCTGAAGGAGTCCAGGAACAAATTATAGCAGAGAACTTCCCCGACCTGGGAAGGAAGTAAATGTGGAAATACAAGAGGCTCAGAGGACTCTCCTCAGACTTAACTTGAATCGATCTTCTGCACGGCATATCATAGTAAAAATGGCCAAATACAAGGACAAAGAGAGAATTTTGAAAGCAGCTAGGGAGAAAAGGGCCCTAACATACAAAGGGAAACCTATCAGAGTGGTGACAGACCTATCTACTGAAACTTGGCAGGCTAGAAAGGAATGGCAGGAAATCTTCAATGTGATGAACAGTAAAAATATGCAGCCAAGAATCCTCTATCCAGCAAGCCTGTCATTCAAAATAGAAGGAGAGATAAAAACCTTTCCAAATAAACAGAAATTGAAAGAATTTGTCACCACGAAGCCAGCCCTACAAGAAATCCTGAGGGGGATGCTCTGAAGGAAAGGTTGCAAGGAACAAAGATACCAGAGACACCACCACAAACATGAACCCTACAAAAGATACAAAGACTCTAAACCCACATATTTCAATAATAACACTGAATGTAAATGGGCTGAATGCTCCAATCAAAAGACATAGGGTAGCAGAATGGATTAAGAAACAAAATCCATCAATATGCTGTCTACAAGAAACTCATTTTAGACGGGAAGATACCTTCAGATTAAAAGTAAGGGGATGGAGAAATATATATCATGCTACAGGAAATCAAAAGAAAGCCGGAGTAGCGATACTTATATCAGACAAACTGGACTTTAAATTAAAGACAATCACAAGAGATGAAGAAGGGCACTACATAATAATTACAGGGTCCATCCATCAGGAAGAACTAACAATCATAAATGTCTACGCACCGAATATGGGAGCACCTAAATATCTAAAACAATTAATCACAAACAGAAACAAGCTTATAGATAAGAATGTGCTAATAGCAGGGGACTTTAATACTCCGCTTACAGCAATGGATAGGTCAACCAGACAGAAAATCACTAAAGAAATAATGGACTTGAAAGACACATTGGACCAGATGGATCTGACGGATATATTTAGAACTTTACATCCTGAGGCCAGGGAATTTACTTTCTTCTCAAGTGCGCATGGCACATTCTCCAAGATAGATCACATACTGGGACATAAAGCAGCCCTCAATAAATATAAAAGAATAGAGATCATACCATGCACACTGTCAGATCACAATGCTTTGAAACTTGAAATCAATTACAGGAAGAAGTCTGGAAAACCGCCAAAAACATGGAGGTTAAAGAACACCCTTCTAAAGAATGAATGGGCCAATCAGGCAATTAGAGAGGAAATTAAAAAATATATGGAAACAAATGAAAATGAAAACACAACAATTCAAAATCTATGGGATGCGGCCAAGGCAGTCCTAAGAGGAAAGTACATTGCTCTCCAGGCCTATTTCAAGAGATTAGAAAAAGCACAAGTCCAAAATCTAACAGCTCACCTAAAGGAGCTAGAGGCAGAGCAACAAGAACGCCCTAAACCCAGTAGAAGAAGAGAAATAGTAAAAATTAGAGCAGAAATAAACAACATAGAGACCAAAGAAACAATTGAACAGATCAATGAAACCAAGAGTTGGTTTTTTGAAAAAGTAAACAAAATTGACAAACCTCTAGCCAGGCTTATCAAAAAGAAAAGAGAGAGCACCCAAATAGACAAAATTATGAATGAAAATGGACTTATTACAACCAACCCCTCAGAAATACAAGCAATTATCAGGGAATACTATGAAAAATTATATGCCAACAAATTGGACAACTTAGAAGAAATGGACAAATTCCTAAACACACACTCACTACCAAAATTCACACGGGAAGAAATAGAAAACCTGAACAGACCCATAACGAGTGAAGAAATCGAATCAGTGATCAAAAATCTCCCAACAAATAAGAGCCCTGGACCTGATGGTTTCCCTGGGGAATTCTACCAGACATTTAAAACAGAATTAATCCCAATTCTTCTCAAGCTATTCCAAAAAATAGAAGTCGAAGGAAAACTCCCGGACTCATTTTATGAAGCCAGCATCACTCTGATTCCCAAGCCAGACAGAGATCCAACAAAAAAAGAGAACTATAGGCCAATATCCTTGATGAATACGGATGCAAAAATTCTCAACAAGATCCTTGCAAATCGAATCCAGCAGCATATCAAAAGAATCATCCACCAAGATCAAGTGGGATTCATTCCTGGGTTACAGGGCTGGTTCAACATTCGCAAATCAATCAATGTGATCCATCATATCAATAAAAGAAAAGATAAAAACCATATGATCCTGTCAATAGATGCAGAAAAAGCATTTGACAAAATACAGCATCCCTTCTTAATAAAGACTCTCGAGAAAGTTGGGATAGAAGGAACCTACTTAAACATCATCAAAGCCATCTATGAGAAGCCTTCAGCTAACATCATCCTCAACGGGGAAAAACTGAGAGCTTTCCCCCTGAGATCAGGAACACGACAGGGATGTCCACTCTCACCACTGTTGTTTAACATAGTGCTGGAAGTCCTAGCATCAGCCATCAGACAACAAAAGGAAATCAAAGGCATCAGAAT